CAAACAGTGAGGAGAGAGAAAGAGAGAGTACAAGGCAGTTGGTTGGAATAGGAGGCGGTTACATTTCTGTGGGCAGGGCAACACTGTAACATTGTGAGGACCATTTTGCCCCGAAACAATTAATATCGCCAGTATTATATTGCCCTTGGGTTTTGGTTGCGTGCCCGTTCTCCGACCCCAACACGAAGACGGCACTCTCTCTCTCTCTTTCTCTCTCTCTCTCTCTCCCTCTCCCTCTCCCGCTCTCTCTCTCTCTCCCCTCCTGTCACATACTCTGAGGCAACCTCCACCAAATCAGACACACTCGCTTTCTCTGTCTCTGTCTCTCCCACCTCTTCCTAAATCCCTAGCCCCAATAGTCCAGTATGCCTCCGCCTCATGGCCGTTCGATCGACCCCAAAGTCTGGCGCGCCTGCGCCGGAAACTCCGTCCAAATCCCCACCCTCAACTCTAGGGTTTACTACTTCCCTCAGGGCCACCTCGAGCAATCCTCCCCCTCCTCCGCTGCGCCTGTCCTCCTCTCCCCTCTCCTCCTCTCCAAGCCTCTCATTCTCTGCCGGATCTCCGACCTCCGCTTCCTCGCTGACCCCACTACCGACGAGGTCTTCGCCAAGCTGCTTCTCGTCCCAATTCCCAATGAGTTCCCCAGCATCGAGCCGCCCAATGGCGACAAACTCGACGCCGACGGTAATGGGGACTTGGAACGACAGGATGACAGAGTCTTTTCGTTCGCGAAGATACTGACGCCTTCGGATGCTCACAATGGGGGTGGATTCTCTGTTCCGAAGTTCTGCGCGGACACCATCTTTCCTCCGCTTAACTTCCAGGCCGACCCGCCGATCCAGGCGCTCTTCCTCACCGACCTCCACGGCGTCGTTTGGGAATTCCGGCACATATACAGGGGTACTCCGAGACGGCACTTGCTCACCACTGGCTGGAGCAAGTTCGTCAACCACAAGATGCTCGTCGCCGGTGACTCCGTCGTCTTCATGAGGAACGGGAGGGGAGAGATGTTCATCGGCGTCCGTCGCGCAGTCAGGGCCAGCGCCAGCTCTGACTGCGCCAGGTGGAGCTATCACATTGGAGGCGGAGCGACGAACTCGATGAGGCTGAAGACAGAGGATCAGGACTGTTCAGGAAGGAAGGTAATGTCCGCGGAGGCCGTGGCCGAAGTGGCGGAGATGGCGGCGGAGGGGAAGCCGTTTGAGGTGGTGTATTATCCAAAAGCGGGGTGGTGGGACTTTGTGGTGAAGTCTGAGGTGGTGGAGAAGGCATTGAAGGTGTTTTGGACGGCTGGGATGAGAGTGAAGTTGGCTATGGAGACGGAGGACTCGTCCCGGATGACTTGGTTTCAGGGCACTCTGTCGATGGCTTCGGTACCGGACAATGGACCTTGGCAAGGCTCACCCTGGCGCATGCTTCAGGTATTGGTTCTTCTTCTTTGAGTCTTAGTTGATTTTAAGCTGTTATTATCTCCTAATTGATGCAAAATTAAGAAACTCATTTTGTATTTTGAACGGAAGAATTGGGTATTACTAAGTAGTGTAGTGTTAATCCACCCTCCTTTCATTAGGGAACATATCATGGTACTAGTTTATATCTGTGGAAATGTATCAGGAAGCAGATATGGGATTTAAATTTAAAGGAAATAGTCCAACTGTTATTTGGTTTTGACTTGATTAGATGCCTTTTGGGATAAGCAGACATTTTTACGTTTTTGTTTATCTGGGAAGATGCTACCATGGCGGCATTCTAATATGGCTCGGGTTGGCTGATTTTGCTGTTGGATTATAGTCCTGTTCAATTACTGGCATTTGTCAATGGCTTATAACAAATAGCCCACTTCTTGTTGCGCTTTAATTTTGGAGTAGAAGTTGACAAGAAAGAGCAGTTGATAGTTCGGTCCATTGCATCTCATGACACTGACTTTTCTGTAGACTTATTGGTTTTGGTTCAAATACTTGATATCAATTATGTTAAAATTCCTAAACTTGTATTTCTCTTGCTGCCGAGAAAAGGTTGCTGCCAAACTTACTGTTAAGAAAAGAAATACCATGTCAGGATAATCTGATTCGAGTTGTGGGCTGTTATCTATTGTGTTGAGGCACTGGTCCGTTCAAGTTTGCAGTTTAGCAAAGTATACTTTCTATGTTTCACAGCAAATCCTAGCTGAGTTAAAGAGGCGATTATATCAGGCATACAAACCCAAGAAATGAAATTTAACACACATGTACATATACACGCGCACGGAGAGAGGGGTGTTTATTATTTACAGTTAAATTTTAAGCCAAAATACATACACACAATATTGCAATTTTCTACATTTTGTTACATTCTGATATTATTGTTCTTTCTCTTCATTATTGACTGATGTTAATTTTTATAATTCTTGCCAAGCAATTAAATAATTAATAACCTCTGTATTGTAGGTTACATGGGACGAACCTGAAGCTCTGCACAATGCTAAGAGGGTGAGCCCGTGGCAAGTCGAATTTGTTGGATCAACACCTTCAATTCATACAACGTTTTGCCCCACAAAGAGATTCAGAGCTCCTCTGACTCATGGGCTGTTGATCAATGCAGAGGAAGAATTCTTCTTTCCTATGACAGGAGCAGCTAATTTAGCAATGGGGCCATTTAGTGCATCCTTGTTGAACTACAATTTTCCTGCGGGCATGCAGGGAGCCAGGCAAGATACATTCTCTGTATCTAATCTATCCCACTTGTTAAGTGAAAACAGTCCTCAGGCGTGCACTTACAATTCCTTTGGCAACAATGAGGTGCCAAAGCTGAAGAGGGTATGTACTGAGTTGAACATTGGTAGTTCACAGTCTGACGAATTGTCACCAGATAGCCAGAGTAGTGTGGCATCCTTTGGGATGGAACTTGATGGAAACCGGTTGCAGACAAAGGTTGGCACAAGTTCCTTTCAGCTGTTTGGTAAGATTATTCATACAAACCAGTCTGTTGAAGGTGGTTCTGATGATGTTGGTTGCACCGAGGACAGTGGCAACAAAGAGTACAATGTAGCAGAAGGAGGGCACAACCATCTGGATCTTAATTTTACCGAACTTCTTGATAGGATTGATATTAAATGTCAAAAAACCTCAGCTGTTGATTCTTGTACTTTGTGAACTGTGCTGGTGGCTGCTGTGCCATAAATTGCTGTGCAGGTAAAATCTCTTCTCACTAAATCACATTGAAATGTCTAATCTACACGTACGTTATGATTGGATTTGGATCTGGCATGCTTCATGAGTTTTGAATCTTTATTCCTTTTATTGGACTTGCATGCATAAATCCTGTTTTGCCACTCCCTTCAACAAAAATATTATCCAACTGAAGTGATTTGAACATATTGTTAATTGGGGATTTCAAGAAATAGCTTGCCTGAAGTTATTACCAAGTAAAATCGAAAAAGATCAAATACTGTGGGGACTATAGTTATGATTTCTTGAAAACCAATGGTTTCTACTTTCTAGTGGTTTTGGTGTGTGCAACCTGAATTTCTTTACAACCGAGCTTTGCCTAATGCTCGTTCTGCTGCATCTGTTTGCAGGTGCTCAAGGCCGGCGGGAAGCTGACTACTAGTCTGACTGTTGAAGTAGTTAAGTGTGTGGTGTGGGGGGCTTGTTTAGTTTGTGGTGTTGGACGGTTAAGACGTTCTGTGGACTTGGTTTTCCATGTTCCAAGCAGATCGATGTTAATGCTTGATTGTGAACTTTTATTGCTTCAGAAATTGGTGTTCATTGTTTCTTTGATGGGTTAATTTTATTTATTATTGTTATGACTTCTAAAATACATTGCAATTGTTGCGTCGTGTCTGATTGAAGTTGCTCTCCGTTCAATATTGTCATGGATAAGAATTGAGCTGGAGTCATCATATCAATGATTCAATGTGACTTTATGACCAATTCTTTGTTGAAATTACAATTCGACCTAACCTGTCCCATTAACTGCCATAACTGTCAGACACAGTACGAATTGCCATTAAGCATGGTATTTTCCTTTTTAGTTATCTCTGTTAGGGATGTCTTCGGATTCATTCCGTTTGGTTTTTTACCAAAACTTTGGTTTGGCTCGGTTTGATTTTGTTCAGTTCGGTTTCGTTTATAGGAAAAGAGGAAAGATAGTTGTACAAATACAAGATCATATAAACCAATCTTACTCTATTAACAACCTCAAATTGCAAAGAAAAATGATCACCGTATCCATTCAAAAAGCAAACAAATAAAGTTTTTCCAAGTTCCGAAGCCTTCAAAAACTTTATTCTATAACCAATGGAATATCCTCCCTAATTGAACCAAGTACACTCCTTGAAAAAACCCTAGGCTTAGTTTCAAACTTGGCAACAAAGTTTAACAAAATAAACATTTTAGGCATACATCCATAAAGTGTAAAGGATTTGGTTTGGTTTGGTTTAGTTCGGTTTCCAAACCTCCAAAATCAAAACCGAACCACAAGGTTTGGTTTTTCCTTTTTCGGTTCGGTTTTTTTTTTGTTTTCGATTTTCAGTTTAGTGTTCGGTCCCTTTTTTTTTTTTTTTTTTTTCGGTTTTTGGTCTTTTGAACCCAAATCTCTGTTGTCTTGGTGATTCTAAGTTTAAACCCTTTTTTCTTCCTGTAGTAATATAGTTTGTATTAAAAAAATCTAGTTTACAGTATAATAATATTCCTCTTCACCTGTAACTGAGAAGTCTCATATTTAATTTCCACAAATGACGTTGATCTCAAATTTAACTCACATAAATAACGATGATGTGTATATTTATTTTGAGTTCGATATTTAATTAGTGACTGACATACTCATCCCCTAATCTTAGAGTAAAAGTTGTTCATTTGAAGGAAAAAAACAAGAAGACATGGTACAGTCCTGGGCGTCTCAAGATCGTTTTCGGGGTGATAAGAATCGCCTAGAATGGTAGTGGGTCCTTTGAGCCCAAAAGATAAAAACTGATGGATCCTGAAGCCCATCTCATCCAGCTCTCTGCAAAACCAAACGAAACCAAAACTACAAATTTCAGACCTTCCATTTGCTACATACCATCGTCGTCTCTTTGCCTCGAGAACTTGAACCTGCCTCAGCTGCCGTGCGGCGGCTTAAAGGCCTCGAACGGTCGGTCACCGCATCTCTACTTCACCAACTATCTGTCTGAATTTTAATGGCGAATTCGTTGTTTCTTCCAAATCACACCTTGGTAGCTCCGCCTCCTCGTAGCCTTTCTGCTTCTGTCTCCTCGAAACCCAACAAACCCCAACCACCTCTTCTTCCTTGTCCTCCTTCTCCTCGTCTTCTAGGGTTTAGCAGCTTCTCTCTAACCACCACCTCTTCCTCCTCCGTTATTAATCACAGCAGTGGAAGCAGTGGCGGTAGTAGGAGGCGTGTCTCTTCCATCAAATCTCGTCTCACCCCTCAAGCCTCGGTTACCCCAGTAAGTAGGCTTTCTTCATTCTCATATTCCTAATTTCGCTTTCTCTATAATTTTTAATTTCCTTCTGTTTATTTGCGTTATTCATCTCTTAATTAGTGGAAATTGGCTAAATTGTTATCTGCTATAAGTTGAATTCTCGATTTGATGGCATTTGAGATTACTTGGCATTATCGCAACATCGTTTTGGAATGTTTTGCTTCAAACTGAAGCAGCAATTCAGCATTTCGCTTTTCGTAGATTCTGATATACACATTTTAGTGGACTCAGACACTCGTGATGAATCCCTACTTCTCTTAGGGTTTAGGGTTTCGAAATCTTCCATGTTTATATTTACATGATTCGCTTATTTTGTATTAATCAACGCTCTTCAGACTTTTAACTATTTGTACGTCTTTTGTCTTGCTTTGATCCTTTGTTTATAACTTTATATGGTTGTGTTATTTGTTTTTCGTTTATAATTTATATTCTTGCTTATTTATCTTCATATTTTTATGGTTAGTTGAATTCCAGAAAGGACAATAATAAGAGCAATGCAGGACCTTCTGAAAGCGGAGCAGATCAAGAGCATTTTCCCCCTTTGAAAACCCTCCTTCAAATTTACAAGGAGGCTATTTTTAACGGAGATGGAAAAACTGTTTCCGAAGTAGAAGCTATTATAGAAGTAATAGAAAATGAGAAGAATGAATTAGTCAAGAAAGTATCTTCTGCATCAGCAGAGATAACATCTGGGAAGGAGAAACTTATCCGCTTGCAAGCAGATTTTGATAATTGTAGAAAAAGATTTGAGAAGGAGAGGCTTACTGTAAGGACCGACGCCCAAGGAGAAGCGATTGAGAGTCTTTTGCCCATGGTTGACAATTTTGAGAGAGCCAAACAGTACCTTAAACCCGAGACTGAAAGGGAAGAAAAGATTGATGCAAGTTACCAAGGTATTTACAAGCAATTCGTTGAGATTATGAGGGGCTTGAGTGTAGCTGTCGTTCCAACTGTGGGAAAGCCTTTTGATCCTTCAGTAAGTGAAAGCTTCTGAGAATTACTTAGTTCAATTTATACTACAAAAATTAAATTATGCCTGTTATTTGGTGAACTTAATTTATGCCTGTTTGCTTATTTTTTCTGGTCAACCATATTTAAAGTTACAGTGATCTTAGAATTCAATCTTGACTATGTGTACCGTTTTAAGGATTTAATATGATACCTTTTCTTGGGTCCAAATGATGGAAAAAAAAATACTCCATGTTTAGAAAATTGGAACGGTGTTTAAGGTAGGATGTTGCTAAGGGAATGATATGGAAAAGAACGGATGAAAACTTTTTCCCTATGCAAATTTTGTAAGATTATTTTTGGTTAAGTCCCTTGCATTTCTATACTGTCTCCCTTCTACCAATTGAAGGAAAAGCTATCTTTCTTTGTACTTTTTCCTACCTTCTCCCTTCCAAACATGCTTCCCGTAGATTATTGTTTGTTTTACTTAGGGTGAGACATTCTTATGATGGAATTATTGTATATATGGGCTCAGTATAAATCTTGACCTATGCATTCAAATTTCTTTACCCGGAAAAGATTGGGACAACCTTAATGTGCACTAAGGCCCCAGTACATGCTCTAAGATTTTTGCAGTTTCCAATCTCCACTATTGCTCAAAGGGCTTATCAACAATCAAATTTTCAGAAACTTGAGTGAAAATTACTCGTTTGTGTGTCTACTGTTTACATCCGCCTGGTTAGGAGATTGTCCTGTTCCTGCCAAAAAGCATTTTATTGAATTCACTAAAAGCTATTTGTTATTGATGTTAAGGGTTATGCACAGTGATTAATTTCCCACTTCGCATACCATTCTTATGTGTTTTGCTTCTTATTGATTTAGGCTCCGATGGGTCGAAATTTTCTTTGGTATGTGTAGAAGATATAATATTTTTCTGACTCTTGTACCTCAGTGATGAGTGGTGAAAATCTTTTACTCCCTGCCACCAATTGATCTGTACCTTGATAAACTTTCCGATGCCAAATCTAAGTTTTCAACTTTCTATTACAGCTGCATGAAGCTATTGCACGGGAAGAGTCTCAAGAGTTCACGGAAGGGATTATAATTCAAGAAATCCGCCGCGGGTTTTTACTCGGAGGTCGGCTCCTGAGACCAGCAATGGTTAAAGTCTCATCAGGTCCTGGCAGTAAGAAATCCCCTGTGGCCACCGAGAAAACAACTGCAGGAGTGGAGAAATGATAAGCTTTCTCATGGAAGCTGAATTAGAAGTTAGGATACATCTGCTTTCATCGGCCAATCTGGAGTTTCTTGTCAACGGCTATGGTTCTTCGAAAGTTTCCGAGGTATAAAAGTTCAAATTAAATTGTCACAATTGGCATGTGCAAGAAGCCAGGCTCATTTTTTGAAAGTTCGATTTAAATTGTCACATTTGCATGCGGGTGCTATACTTTTGTTTCACAAGAAAGCACTCGTTATTTGTAATTCTGGGAATGTTTTGTATTAATCACATGGTTCTTGATAGCAGAATGAAAATGTTATATAAAATCGTTAAGCTTCGGGGCCGTTTCATTCATAACCATTTCATGTTGTCTTTGGCTTTCAGTACACTTTTTATTTTTTGAAAAAATAACTAAAATTTTGTTTGGTAACTACTTTCAGTTTTCAGTTTTCAAAAACGTATAAACTGAATTTCATAAAGTGAAAATTCATGGCAAAATTTGAAAATTAGAGAAGGTAGTTTTCACTTTTCTTTTTTTTGAAAACTGAAATGAGTTACTAAACATGATTTCAATTCTTAGTTTTTAAAAAAGTAGAAATAAAATTTAAAAACGAAATGGTTATCAAATAGAAGAAATCTCATATGCAAATCGCTGGTCATTATTCTAAAAAAAAGTTTCAATGCTGGTGTTACACTGAAAAGGCCATTTGGAGTTATTCACTTATTTGGTAGAAAGAATAGTGTGCATCCATTTAATTTCAATATTACAAATTGAAAAAAAATTATTTCGTTTTGTTTGGCTATTTGTACTCATTGTTAATAAGATAGAGTGCTAATAAACTGGGCAATAATGTAGTCTCTCTTGACGACACTTACAACTTTACGTTCCACAACAATTTATGGGGCATAACTCTCTAGTGTTGCTACGTGCAGTGGCAAAAGCCTGATGGAAAATGGACCAAGGCTGCATTTAGCACATACAAGGCCAGAAGGATGAAAGCGTTGCATGCATCGTTACAAGTGGAAGATAAAAGAAAAAGCCCTTCTTTCCTTCAACAATCAGAACAAGCTGTGGGAAAATCTCTACAAGAACTACACTCCTGCAGATAGAGCGAGTCCACCAATGCTCCGCCCAATGCATTCTACTCTTTTATCTTTATTACTCTCACTGCCTTTTTATTCACTGTAACATATAAATGAAATGTTTTAGTAATGAGCCACTTTGTTCAAAAATACTTTTAAATTTTAAATTTTTATAAGAACAAAGTTAGTCTCATTGCATAACGCTGGGCTCGTTATAAATAAGTTGGACCAGCCCAGCTTGTTGTACAATCTTAATCTGAAATCTAATATAATATTGATAAAAGGTATATTTGTTGGTTTGCCTCCAAACTTGTATAGACCTGTCAATTTCTCTTGAATTTTAATTTTAGCCGATTATCTATCTCCTAGACTTTTATAATTAGCCAATTTTCCTCTTGAACTTTAATTTTAGTCGATTACCCCCTTGAACTTTTATAAATAGCCAATTCTCCCATCGGAGCTAGATTTTAAAAAATTTCAACCAATTTTCCATTCATTTTGATCACGCAGACAACACACGACAATTGTATGAGACAAAAAGAATGGAAAATTAGATGAAAGATTTTACAATCAAATAGTAAGAGGGAAAACCGACAAATACCCCTTGATAAAAAACGAAACGTGAAAGTCAAAGAATAACCTATTTAAACTAGATATGCTAGCCTATAAATCCTAAACCTTGTTTTAAAACAAACCTCAATCCATCTAGGATTTACCCACTTAATCCCTTTCCTATTAATACTAAACAAATCACAAACTTTAGGGTAAATTACTCTTTAGGGTCTAGGGTTTAGGATTTAGGGGTTTAGGGTTTAAGGGTTTAGGCCTTAGGATTTAGGGTTGGATTCAAAATTCTGATTTCGATTTGAGTTGGGGGAACATCCAAATTGAATTCGACTTCAGAACAAGTGTTAATGTTTTGTTTGTGGAATCTGGAAAACACTTAAGAATGAAACTACAGAGGAAGAAAAAGGGTCTCACGTCGGATGCAATGATGTTAGATCCATGATTTTCATCTAGTTTTTAAAGTACTTTCTAGTTTTGCCATAAAATGATGTTTTCGAATAATTTTATTAGAACTACATGTTATTAGTATTTCTCTTTATTTGTAAGTAAGAAGTCTCACACCTTGCTTACAAAAATTACGAGTTTGAAACATAGTTATTATGGTTGGCTCGTTGTGTTTTTAGCTCAAATCTCCCACTTAAAAGGAATAGGGTTAAATGAAAAATAAAATAAAATATGTTTTGAATATGAAATGGAGTTTTGAGGTTCTTAATTGTGAAAGAGTCATAGGTTTTTTAACCCAATGACCATCATTCATGAGATTTGAATTCATAATCTCCTTCAACAAAATAGAGTCTAAGGGTCACGATCATTGATATTACCTGAAGGCCTTGTTTGGTACAAAGGATTTGAGGAAGAAATGAAAAAAGTTATCCCAACTTGGAGATAGAACGTGAATTAATCATGAAGAAAACTTATTCATTTCAGTCTCCCAAAAAGATGAAATTAAAAGGAAGAAGCTTTCTTCATGTCTTAACTATATTCTCCAGAAAATAAAAATAAAAATTATTCTCCTCTACTTTCGATACAACTTGAATTTAGAGAATTATCCAGTTCAAAACTACTGCACTCCAAACAAACAACCATTGCATGGCACGCCATGGACCAGGCTTAAAACATGGAGATACCAACTATTGGCATAAAACTTCTCTTGGGGATATTCTTTGATTCCATTCACTTTTTAATTATCAAATAATGATATGAATGAAAATATATACATACATGTCCAAACACCCTATATCTCTATGCCTCAACAAGTGGTTTTGAGACTTCAAATTTGATAATGGGTAGCATGAAAGTCTGGTTATGCAGATTTCTGGCTTTGCATTCAAATCTGAGCAACGAAGCCCGTGTGCCTTGCACGTTGTCAAACAAGGGCAGCCAGACAACAATGGAGAGTGCTAAAAAGTGTTGAAGGCTAGCATTGAAAGACAGGTCGGAAGGTACTTTGATTCCAAGCAAAGGAGCCCTGGCGGACCTATCCACGACTTTACTAGTTCTTGGCCATAATCTTCGGAGCTTCTGATCAGCTGAATGTGTACCAATGCCAGGGGGCATAAATATACTTGAACCCTGCAAATAGTACTTGGCTGTAAGACATAATGTATATAGGCCCAGGAAGCACAACCTGAACAGGGATGCAACTTATGCTCGGTGAGTAATATAATTCTTGTGATTTGTGTTGTGTTCATGTGCACCCTGATTAGTTAGTGAAGTTTCAATGTGATCTGAGAGGCAAAAATGTTTAGTTAGTTCACTAAGACCATGGCTTCATAAACACTGATCCAAGCATCGGTCGGTAAAAGGATAAGGTAACTATTTGAATTAAATTATAGAATACAATTACTATTAACAATGTAATCGGCTTAGTTTATTTAATATGCAAAAAGACACCCAAAATAAAAGTAGATGAATGAATAAATATTAAAGACGAAAACTACCTTCTCTGTGTTCTTGCTTCTTATGGGACATGAACACTCAGGAGAATGTCACGGTGAGTGCTTCCTACAGTGAAAATCTGCACTTATAAATATCTTCTTAAGAGCAAACTTGGAAGGTCACATATCCGCAACAATGTAGGAATACAAATAGCCAAAACCTCTTTAACAAGGAAGATAACTCTGTTGCCTTGCAGCCTCCAGCCGGTAAGCTTATAGCATGACCAGTGCAGGAACCTTCTAAACTTGCCTTTTTCTGCATGCTTGTGATAATTTTGCACAAGAACTCTGCCTTGATCAAACAACATTGAAGCTCAATTTGGAAAGACACCAAATTTTGATGCTTCCCCAAATGTTTTTCGTATGCTCTTTATGACTCCAGCACAGATGTCACCATTGTCAGGAAGTAACTTCCAAAACTTATAACTTGGTTATCTCGCCTTCTTATGGTGATAGAAGCATAGACATCTCCCCTCTCATCAATCTTATATTACTTTGGCTGATCTCTGGCAGTCGATAGATATCAAATTCTTAGGCATATAAATTGGAGGATTAGCATCTGAAAACTTTTCCATCTGCTAATTTTGGTTTTCCAAAACATGATTATGGGGAAATCAAAACTGGCACTACCCAAATAATTAACCACCTATATGCCTGAAAGAGAAGCTCAAAGAGCACAAAGTTAGTTCTTCAATCATTAGTGACACATTCATCCTTCTTCCACTAAGCTATCATGATCACAAGCTCAAAGCCTACAGTAATGGTTATAACTGTGGCTCAATCCCCGCTAACTGCATCTCCCCAAACCAGGCAAGGGCCTTCTTGGCTGTTCCGTTAGTTGAATTAGCAGAAAGCATGGAGTTCAATACAGAAGTATCCCCTTTAACTTCAAAGTCAAAGACTGATTTGGCGTCCTTGATACTACCACAATTAGCATACATGCCTATCAAGGCAATTGCAAGGCTATAATTAGACTGATCAAGATGACTCTTTATGATATAGCCGTGTAGTTCTCTTCCAAATCTCAGAGCTTCTGTATCACCACAAGTAAGGAGAAGTATCATAAGCGTAATAGAGCTTGGTCCAAGACCTTCTTCCAGCATTTCACCGAAAAGTTCAAGAGCTCGGTCCAGCTGCTTGTTGTTGACATGGCCTGCAATCAAAGCATTCCAACAGATTGTGTTTTTATCCTCAGTTCTCCTAAATACTTTAGTCGCTGAAACAATATCAAGACATTTTGAATACATGTCGATCAATGCGCTTGAAACATAGATATTATGCTCAAAGCCAGTCTTCAACAAGTATCCGTGGATTTCCTTCCCTTGACATAGTAGATTGAGATCAGCACAAGCTGCAAGAGCACCAGCAATAGTAATGGAGTTCGGTTGAATTGACTCATGGAGCACATCATTTCCAAAGCAACCACTCGATGAGGCTCGCATGGTCTGGAACAGTTGTAAAGCTTCAAAACTAAGCCCAAATTGTTGAAAACCAGAAATTAAAATGTTGAAAGAAATAATATTTGGCTTCAAATCCATCCGGACCATCTCATAAAGCAACTCATATGCCTCATTTATTTGCCCGCTTCTTGCATGGCCGGTCAATATTGTGTTATAAGATACAACATCAGGTTTTAAGCCATGATGATGCATCGCTCTAAGAAGCTCTAACCCCTTATTTGCTTCTCCTTCATTTACATAAGCTGCAATCATCTCATTCCACATAGAAATGCTTTTGCTCTCAGCCTTGGAAAAAATTCTCTCCGCATAATCTTTCATCCCGCTTTTTGAATACATATCAATTAACGAACCCTCCACGTGAATGTTCCCACAAAGCTGACGCTTTAGAGCAAATCCATGAACAGCCCTGCCTAAGTTTAAATCTTTTAAGCCTGAACAAGCTGGTAAAATGCTTGCAATTGTAACAGAATTTGGATCCTCGGGGAAACATATCATATTATAGAACACTTCCAAAGCATCCTCGAAAAAGTTATTCTGAACAAAACCGGAAATTATCCCATTCCAAGTACCAACCCTCGGCCTCAACCCTTCTTCCTGCATCGCTTCCAAATACTGAAGAGCTAAATCAGTCTCTCCATTCCGAGCAAACCCCGATACAAGCGCATTCCAAGAGATCAGGTCAGGCTTGACACCATTCAGCTGCATGGACTTAAAAACCTCTATTGCCTCTTCAAAAATGCCTTCATTCATGAAAGCGGAAACAAGGGCAGTCCACGAAACCACATCTCTTTCCCTCATTGCATCAAACACACTCATTGCAGATCTGAAGTCCCCGCAATTGGCATAAAAATCAATAAGCGCATTCCCCACGTAAACATCGGAATCCAAAGCCTTCCTTATCACAAACCCATGAATCATCTTACCAATCCTCAACATCCTCACCAGAGCACACGCTTTCAGAACCGTAGGCACAACATATTTATCAGGCATCACGCCCTCATCAACCATCAACTTAAACACCAAAAACAAATCTTCCCACCACTCCGACCGACAATACGCGCTTATCAACGCCGCATAAGTGGGTACAGTTCTGTTGGGAATATCATTGAACATTTTACGTGCATAGTCTAAAAACTCATTATTCTTAGAGTAAAGCATAGCGAGCTTGTTTCTTACCCAACCATTATCCTCAAACGCTTCCAACTTCAGAACTTGGGCATGAATTTGTCTACAGTCGGACAAAGGGTTGCTCTTTAGCAAAGAAAGGCAGCGACCAATCTCAGAACTAGGTTGAGCAGCTTCTGGGTTGTGACTGACTTTGGCGGTCTTTTTGGCGGGAAGGGGGAGATGGGCTTTCGGGTTTGGTGGGCTTGAGAGTGTGGCGGTGGCGGAAACGACGGTAGTGGCGGTGGAAGCTTGAAATTTGAACTTGGGTTTGTGGGAACTGCTGGGTTTTTGTGAGAGGGAAGCTTCCGCGAGTAGGGGATTGCTGGGAAGCAAAGAAGTCCGAAGGATTCCCATTTCCAGAACGAAAGAAATCGATGATGAGATGACAAATCCGCCCAGTAGAAAGCAACGGAAATGGATGAGGAGGAGGAGGAGGAGCACTCAGCAGCAGAGTTCTGCGGCGGCGCGAAGATACAGAAAGAAGAGGCCGAGTAATGTAATAATGGGCTTGTCTTTTTCTGTTTTTGAAGTTTAAGATGGAGGGTTGGGTTTTTGCCTCTCCAACGAAACCCTGTCGTTTCAGGGTTATCTTCACTTGGGGTTTTTTTTTTTTTTGTTTTTTTTATTTTTTATTTTATTAAATTTGTTAGATTACGTGTATATCAGAGAGTCGATGGGGTTTAAACTCACTTCGTGGTACAAGGGCAACATTCCTTCCCACCAATGTAGAACGTCACGAAACAAATAATTTTTCCAATCTCTACTGAATATACTTGGACACAAAAGCCCTGAAGCAAAAAAATATTGCAGTTTGACATTAAAAATTGGAGAACAATTCATATGGGCATTTTCGACAAACAGTAATTATTTTAAATGGGTTGAATGTAATTTGGTTGTCTAGGTTATTTCTTTTGGTATTTTCATTTTGACAATCGGATGTGTTAGTGAATTAAATTATTAGTTGTTCGAATGAGGAAATTAGTAGAAATTGAACTCGCACTATGATACACAGATAATTGTTTTCATTAAAAGAGCAAACGGTGAAAACACCAAGTTATAAAACAAAGACAACCACATCAATAGAATCAGAAACATCCACATAAGCACAAAGCTACAGACTTGGGGCTGGTTTGGTATTGTTTTGCATTGAAAAAAAAGTTTCTGTGTGCTGTAAGAATAAGGGAATGGAAATAAAGCAGCAGAGTGTTTGGTAAACTTTTTTGTGCAGAATATTTGGTAAACTTTTTTGTAAAAGTGTTGTTGGAAAAGAAAAAAAAAGCAATATTATAGTGTTTGGTAAACTTTTATGTAAAATAACTGTGATTATGAGAAATGACAAAAAATTATATAATACTAGATGTGCCATTAATTTAATTTTTTTAACAAATAAAGATGAATTACTAAATATACTACAAAAATATTTATAAACTTTATGATCGAGTGATGGTTAGGAAATGTTAGAGTTGGAAACACCAGAATTAGACCCTTTTCCGCCTCCGTCCCATTGGCGATGAGATGGCTGATATTCGGCGTCAGAGCCTTGAATTGGTACCCGAATCGAAACTCATATGAGGAAACCAACAGATCAACCGGATGATCGAGTTTTCTCAAAGGTCGAGCATTGGATTTCGTTGATGAGGAGTTGTAAACGGGGGCGGATTTTGGTGAGTTGGATAAGAAGAGGAAGGCGAATGCGGAGAGAGCAGGTGGTGAGGAGGAGAGAGATGAAGATGACAGTGGTGCTGGGTTTATGAGAAGGAGAAGACGATGGGATCAGAAAGGCGGATGAGTCAGTGTTGAAAGAAAGCAGCACCGCCGATTGGTCAGGCGAGTCTTCGTCATGGGTGGGGATGAGAGTGGCTTTCATGGGCGGCAAATCTGAACCCATATAAAGAAACCAGGTGATTGATTCTGGTTTTTTCTTCGATGGGTCAAATAACTGAAGAATTTGGGATGTGGGTATTGATGGTGAAGCGTTTAGAGAGAGAAAGTGGGGGGTTGGAGTGAGAAGCAAGGATTAAAGGTTGAGTTTTTGGGTGGAGCTGTAGATGTTGGTTTGGTGGAGGTTAGCTTTCACAGCTTTTGGAGAAGACGACTTGTTAATGAATTCTAGAGGAGATTGGGTCAAGAGGGAAGTCGGGGTTCAAAAATGGGTTGGAATCAAATAGTATAGGAGTTTTATGTGGTAGGAGGTGGAGGCTTGAGCTGGGATTGAAGTTTCAAGTCTAGTTCTGCAAGGGTTTTGCAAGAGGGCGTGCGAGAGTGAAAGTGTGAGGAAGGCAGGAGAAAGGAGGGCAATGTTGGCAAATTGAAAAATTCATTCATGAATTCACTGTTCACCCGTGTTTTTCAAATAAGCTAGTTTCTTGAAGCTGCTTTTTTACAGCTTCAGATTTTTAGCTTTTTTTTTTCATCATAAACTTTGAAATAAAGCTGGTTTGGAGTGTTTATCAAACACCAAAAATTCTCCCAACTTTTTTTTCTACTCATTTTTTTTTAAATCACTTAAATACCGAATCAGGGCTTAGTCTTGACATTCTTTCAAATAACAAGTCGAGGATGATATCTAGTGATTCCTTAAACCAACGATTTGGTTGAAGTCTTCCATAAGAGCATTTCCACCTCTAAAGACTTTGCATTAACACCCAGCGTATTTATCCACTCAAGTAAACAGTAATAGACCCCAGTGAACATTAATAGGCCAAAGCATCTCCACCCTTAACAAAAAATGGCCTAGTCAATTTTATTAAAATATTATTATTTTTTATTACAATGGTCCTCTTGTCTGACTCGTCATCGTCAGCCTTCGTACCTTCTCTGTCGTCCTCCACTTTCGCTTTCCCTTTCTCCTCCTTGTTCTCCCCCTTGGCCTCCACTTTCTCCTTCCCTTTTTTCTTATTGTTCTTGTTCTCCGCTTGGGTCGGTGCTGAAGCTGGGCCAACCAGTCTCAGTCACGACCCCATGAGTGTTCTCGTATCGTGCAACGACCATGGCTCTAATGACGGCGTCAACCATCATGTCGAGAGTTTTTGATATCGGAAGCCCATGGTGAGGTTATCTTGGAATCTGAATGGGTGCTTCTGAAACAAGGGAAACTCGGCTTCTGCCTTGCTCTCGCCGAAGTTGTCCTCATCTTCCTTCACAGCTTCCCCTTCCGCTTTTTTTGCCTCCACCTCTTCCTTATTCGCCTGCTTTTTCTTCTTTTGAGCTCCCTTGACCTTCTTCCTCGCCGGCACCACGGGTCACCAGCTTGATTTCGTCGGCGCCACCAGCTGCTTTTCTTTTTACTCAATCGTCTTGCGTTTCCTTAGCGCCATTCTCACAAAACGCACGCTATTAATAGGCCGGTCCTTGACTCTGTCAATTCTGGGCTAGCTTGAAGACCAACTTGGGCTGGATGCCAGGCAATTGAACGGCCTGGAGTGGATTGATTGATTCCCGACCCATTTTTTTTATTGGGTGCTGGCCTAATGGTGTTTCGATGGAAGTGCTCTAAAGCTTGGCATACTAGACGATGGGCGATTATGTTAGCTTGCTAGTGTGAGTGGGTGATTATAGTTCCACGACCTTGGATAACAAAACTTTCGCATCCTCTATGATGTGACTGATAGTGGATAGGTACATAAAGTGCTCTTGTATTACTGATGTGATATGGAGTGAGTCGTTCTCGATGAAAACATTTTGGAGACCCTTTTCGGCATCCAAGGCAAAGCCACTTCTAGCTGCCAACGCTTCGATTTGAAGAGGGGAGAATACGTTCACAAATTTGTATAGTAGTCGCGATAAATTTTCCAAATGTCATAGGATAATGATTCCAACGCTGCCTTCAACCTTACTTTCTACCCGTCACGCTCCATCTACATTAATTTTAATCTTTCCCAAGAGGCGACTTTGATCACCTAATCTCAGTTTTGCCAAATGCTAACAGTCTGAATTGGGGTGATGTTGAGGCCTGGAAACTTGAGGTGTTGGAAATCTATAAATAAACAAGGGATTTGTTATAGGACATACCTAATTAACGAATTTCGGATCGTTGTCTTGTTCCCACGAACCGTTGTACGAACCACAAACAAGAAAGTCACCAAAAGGAGAATTCTGTTACATCAAATCCAACTAGATTGCCTACGTACCTTATGCCAATGCACAAGGATCAAACTACCATAGTTCTTAGTAGTCTCCTCTCTAGAGTTAAGAGAATTATTTTTCTTGATGTGTTTTTATCATTCCAACTCCGCCTGTGTAAGTTTATCATACATTGCCGGTCCCAAGCCCGGATAAAGAAGGAGGGGGAGGGCGTCGGGTAGTCGACAGCCGACACTCCTAGTTTATGTCGAATCCTTATGAAAATGAATCCAGAATGAAATCGCGCAATGGCGTTCTAGGATTCACATAGCCGACTCCACTTAGTGGGAAAAAGCTTTGTTGTTGTTGTTGTTGATGTGTTTTTATCATTCCCCAAAGCCTTTTTTATATAGTGGTTAAGAGGGGAGATGAAAAACGAAACGGTCAATGTGGGCAGTGCCAGACCTATAATGGTACCTCGACGGTCCTAGGACCCCTCTATGGTCATCCTTACTTGAAATGTCCCGATGAACCCTCGAAGCTGAAGGCTCCACCTCTAGACTTTGGCTATATGTTCCAGCTCTGCACTGGCATCTTCGTAGAGAAGACAACTGCTAAAAAGAAAGGAATTTTATATACTTGGCCCAAAATAATGCCGTTTTGGCCAAGTTTTTAATTTTTTTAAAATGACTTGGTCCAAAAAGATGTTTTGGCCAAGTCTTATAATTTTTTAGAGCTTAAGTCCCAACCCTAGGTCCCCCCACTTCCCGTTCCCCAACCCCTATTGTCCAATCCCTATTCCATATGCGTAAACCCTAATTCTAGGGATGACAATTCTAACCGTTAAACCCGATAACCGTGGATAACCGCCTGAATGGATTGGATTTGGGTATGAAAATTCAGGGATATTTTGGGTATGGGGAAAAACCATGAATATTATTTGGATATGATTATAGGGGTCCCCCAATCCGTATCCGTACCCGAATCTGAACCGAATAATATATAATATAATTATATATAATATTAAAGTATTATATAATATATATATATATATATATATATATATATATATATATATATTCATTATTCACCGAATCCATTACCTTGAGAATACAAAAATTGCATTATGTGAGTTGCATTTTGTGCAAAAGTTCAAAAGTTTTGATATGAATCAAAATCTATGAAATTCAATGGTGCTTATGGGGGATATCAAAGATCAGCCAACATTATCAATATTTAGCTTTAATTTTATGCTCCACAAGATTCATTTATTAAATCATTTTATACATCTAATATTTAATGACGAAAAATAATATTTACTAAATTATCATGCGTCAATTGGGCGAATATATTTTTTGTATTGACGAAGATGGATATAATTGTTAACCGATGGAGAATCCGTTATCCGGTGGGTATGGTTATGGATAATACCCGATGATTAATTTGCGGGTATAGATATAATTAATTTTAGTGGTTATGAGAGGATGAATATAACATTCCATCCCCGAATCGAACCGTTGCCATCCCTACCTAGTTCCCCAAGGCCCAAACCCTGAATTCTCAATCGCAATTCCATATTTCATTTCACCGTGGACGACTTAATTAGGATTTTGAAGTTTGTAATGTTGTTTTGAGTGATTTATGAATGAAACGTAATTACATTTAACTTGCCAATATTATTTTTGTCTATAACTCCCAAATATTTTGCCATCCTTTTGACTTGAAGAAACTATTGGATTTGGACAAAAGTAAAATACCACATTGATGGCTTCCTTTGCCTCAAAAGTTTTAAGATATCCCATATTGGAAGGAAATATTGATAATTACTTGATAATTTAGTGTGACAGCACTAAAATTAAATTCAAGCAAACGCTATACATCTTGGATTTCTGGAAAATTACATGTAATTCACAAACTTCTTGCATCACAGAACGAAGAGATCAAATAAAATCTATATATACACAACGTAATCTACTGGCGTTCAAGTACCTGAATTTCCAATGACAATTTGTTTGTTGCATCAAAGAAACAAACTTTGGTGTTCGCAGTCGATTGCCCTCCAAACACACAGGAAACTACCGAGTCTGTAATACGATCAGATCCCCTGATTAGATTTCTTGAGTCACATATCCCTATTTATTGCAAGAAGCATTCAATGACACTGGATTTAAAAGTATGATGAATTTATGAAATTGGACTTTTGACACTTCAATCCCTTGTAGACAAATTCATCAAAGAAAATGCTGCCCAACATATGTGTTTTACAAAAACCATCTTTTCCAAATGTTCTTGGTTTGCATGCAAGCAAACCAAAAAACATATGACGCATTAGTTAGCAACAACATATGACTAGTACCAGATTAAACCGCCGCACAACACAGATTATACTCAACCATTCATGTTTCTAGCACAAAAGTTATCCGACATCAATTTTTGGACTTGCAGAATCAGAAATTAAACAAAAAAAAAAACAAAAGAAGGGTATAAAAACAAAAGGTAAAATAAATTTTTTACCATTTAGAAGCTGAATTGTGGGCTTCAATGGTGTTGTAAATTTTAGAAAAGCGACGAGTCGGGGGTTTGGGCTGGACCGGCTTTTTTCGCAACCCGAAAATCTCTTGAACCAGAGGAACGTGAACCAAAACCAGCTTCCACGCCAGCCACCAACCTGAAAATTTGATCATGTACAAGAGTTGTCACCGATCCAAATTCTCAATTCACATTCAATTACCATCAAAATTCCCGAACAAGTTGAAATGAAAAATTGGGAAATCCAGAGGAGCAGTAATTACCAACTGAGATAAACAAGAAGACGACTGTGATGGCAAAAAGAGGACGGAGGATGAGGAGGCTGAGGTAGTCCCAGTAGGAAAGAGACATATCTGAAGAAGACGATACTACTTTGATGAGCTCAACAAGTTTCCAATGGCTTTTGGTTTTGTGTACTGGGTTTTGAATTTAGGTTAAACGAGCGAAAGTGTCCGTGCTCCGCTGCGGGTTTTAAATTCGTAGTTTACAGCAATTACGAATCATTTCCAAAAAAAAGAGACAGTTCCGATAACAGCACATAATAATGAATCGATACTCAAAAGCTAGCAGCGGCTTAACTGCATTCAAAAACACATATATCATATCACCATACACATAATAATATGTATTTTACTTCTAAAAATCCCATAAAAACACAAATCAATACATTCATCTAAATATTTAAAAAATTAACAGAACAACTAAACCAACATGGTAAAATAAGTCTTTTAATTTTAATTTTAATTTTATTTACTTTACATCAAGAGCATATGTGCAATCCAAAGGGGAGATTTCTAAGTTACAGTTATATACATTTCCATAAGTTTCCCACATTGATTAGTCCATTCAGTTTGCACCTGCATTTTACTGACTCTACGTTAAGAGTTCTATGTACAACCTACATCAGGAGCATATGTGCAATCCAAAGGGGAGATTTCTAAGTTATAGTTATATACATTTCCATAAGTTCCCCATATTGATTAGTCCGTTCAGTTTGCACCTGCATTTTACTGACTCTATGTTAAGAGTTCTATGTACAACCAAAAAAGCAGATATCAACGACTAAAAGGACGGACTTTCATACAAACAAAATATGCAGAGAGAGAACAGCAACACAAATAATCTTCACAGAACACAGCAAACACAGATAATGTTCACAGAAGACTGCAAATTAACATGTTCCATCTAAAACGGATCACCATAGTCTTCTTCCTGCCATTATGTTCACTAACTCATACCGTGTACTAAGTACAAACATGACTAATCGCGTAAGATATGACTTGAAGATATAATAACATTCAGATGAAAAGCAACCAGGTTCTGATCACAGTAATATGCCAAACAGAATATCATTCAAGACCACAGCAATGTGCCAAACTACGGCCCATCTCATCTCGTCTTTCCAAAATTTGTGAAAAAAAAATCAATACCAATTCAAATTCAAATGCCAAAATTATCAGATAATGGTTTAAAAGAGTATACTTTTTTTTTTTTTAAACTTAATCAATTAGTTTAGTTTCAATGACCTCCTCAACATTTTGGAAAGGCAAGAACTTTGGCCAGAGAGCCAATATCTGTCTACAAAAGCTCTACCTCAAGTGGGCAAACTCCCAAAATAATATGAAAATTACCCAAAATCCTAGCAATCGATATAAATTTAAAACCAAAAAAAATTGGGGGAAATTAATAGATAATCCAATTTACTTGAGGAGATGAAGAGGGCAATTTTCGCTTACCTCCAGTCAAGAGGAATTTGTAAAACGTGGTGGTGGCGGCGGCTGTGTGGGTTTTGGATGAGCAACAGCGATCTGGGTTTTGGGTTTAGAACGATGTGGAAGAATATGGGTGGTGAAATTGATTTGGATGAGCAGGTTGATTCCAACTGCAGCAACAAGGAAACGTCGGGGACGCGTCGATCCGGACTGGAGCAAGAAGGAGGCGGCGGAGGAGGAAAGCTGCGATAAAAAAAATATATAGAATTTTGGTTTTGGGCTGATGAGAATTTAATTAAACAAGATATTTATTGGGTTGGCTTGAGTTGGTTAGCTTTCTTATCGTTTTTGGTCCACTTTGCTTGGAAGAAAGGCCCAACCCAATTTTCACACAAGTCTTCTTCAAATTCAACTTCAAACTTGTTGACAAACTGATAACGTGAGTGGAAATTTACAAAATTAAACTTTTTAGTTTATATTAAAATTTAATGGAATTCAAAATTTTTATTATAAAAAGATCAGTGATCAATTTTTAGGTTTCGTTGTAAACCTAATTGGTTACTATGGACCTCGGCAAGAACCTCCAATTGCTTAGGGGTCGCACTCTCTCCTGCTTGGTGGACGAGATCTTCTCTCAAGTGGCGCACTACAATCGGGAAAACCACATTTAATTTAAGTTCAATGCATATTTTGGCTCCCATCCCCCTATCTCTTAAAGCTTGCTTATTAAATTTACAATTTATATAACCTATCCTTATATTCATGGTTGAAATGACCAAAGAGTTCATGTCACGTTAGCTTTGCTACTACTTTTCTTAACTCAATTGATAAAATAAGGTAAAATATGATACAAAATAAAAAGTAAGATAAAACAAAATAGAATATCACTTTTCTGGTTATGAACGTTAATAAAGTGATAAGATTACAATAAAGTGAGACTATATGTTGTTTTTTGGCTGAAAATGTTTTTTTAATGTATTATTTATAAAAGTTGTAGCAACTTTCACATGCTATCCAAATAAAAAATAAATAAAAAATAAAAAGAAAGAAAAGAAAAATGAATTTCACATGCTATCCGGATGTCAACATAATGTTTACTCGTGTTGAAAGGCACGAAAACCATCGCTTTCTCTAATCTTTGCGGTAATACGACGGTCCCACTTTATTACCTCCGACAGTTGGACGGTTCTGATTACTCCACAGTAAAGAATACCTCCATCCACCCTTCAATTTCTACATTTTCAAGATACTAAAATCATCCGGCGTCACAGCATTACAACTGGAAAGTGTGGGCCCCACTAGCGTGACCGACGCGGTAATGCCCGCCAAACCTCTTCTACCGAATCTGGACGTCATCCCGTCCTGGTGGACCAAACGTCCACAAGTCCCTGTCCCACTACTTGTTTTCATTACCGAAACCAAACCCAACGCTACCGCCTACTCCCGGTCGCCGGTTAACCCCGAACCTGTCCAGGTTCATCCCCCCGTCATCTCTCACCCACTATTTCCAATATATACGCAAATGGCCCGGTTCTCTCGTTTCTCTCTCTCTTCTGACCGGAACTCGCTACCAATCTCAGGCGACTTCTAGGGTTTGTGCATGGAAAACTCTGCCTCTTCACCGGAGACTGCTGCACGATCGTCATTCTTCCGCTGTTGTCGCTGCTACTGTTGTTGCTTCTGCAACTAAAAATCCATATTCTCTTTCGAGACCCTCGACATTTTGGTTTTTCAATTTTAGCCCCTGGTTTTTCAAAATTTGACAAATTTTGGTGCTGATGGTTTACACGGAGGCTCAGCCTGGTTTATTTCTCGGGTTTAACTCCCATCACAATACGGCGTCGTCGAATTCAGTCCAATCCGTCCCGCTCCAGCTGCTCGATCAGAACGAAGAGAAAATTAGGGCCGAGAGCGGGGACGATCGCGACGGAGACGAGAAATTTAACCTCTTGGGGCACTCGATTTGCCCGAAGAGGACGAGGGATGGGTCCGGGTTCGGAGCGAACCCGTCGAAATGTTTGGCGGTTGAGTCCGGTGGACTCGAGGCGAGGCGAGCGGCGGTCCGGTCTTGGGGGAACCAACCGCTCGCGGTTTCGGATCCGGAGATCCATGAAATTATGGAGAAGGAGAGGCGTCGCCAGTACAAAGGCATTGAATTGATAGCTTCCGAGAATTTCGTTTGCAGGGCTGTGATGGAAGCTCTGGGCAGCCACTTGACGAACAAGTACTCCGAGGGTTTTCCCGGAGCAAGATACTACACGGGCAATCAGCACATTGATCAGATTGAATTGCTTTGTTGTGAACGGGCATTGGCCGCTTTCGGTCTCGATTCGGATAAATGGGGTGTCAATGTCCAGCCTTACTCGTGTACCTCTGCAAATTTCGCAGTCTACACTGGGCTTTTGCTCCCGAATGATCGGATTATGGGGTTGGATTCTCCTTCTGGAGGGCACATGAGTCATGGGTATTATACCCCTAGTGGGAAGAAGGTCTCGGCTTCCTCGATTTTCTTTGAGAGTTTGCCTTATAAGGTGAACCCACAAACAGGGTACATTGATTATGATAAGATTGAGGAGAAGGCGGTTGATTATCGCCCCAAGATACTTATTTGCGGTGGGAGTTCATACCCTCGGGAGTGGGATTATGCCAGGTTTAGGCAGATTGCGGATAAATGCGGAGCTGTGTTGATGTGTGACATGGCTCATATCAGCGGTCTTACGGCAGCTAAGGTTTGAAATTTGACATCCCAACTTTTTGTTTTACTTTGTTGAGCTGCTGAATTTGTTACCTATTCTGTTAATGATCGATGCTGTTATTGTTGCTTGAGATCTATTTCACAAGTTGTAGGCTGTTTGTTGTAGGAGAGAGCGATTGTTTCGCAGTTTATTTACTGCTTGGCAATAAAGAAAACCATACATAGTGTTAATGTTAAAAAATAGGCTGAAAATGTGTTCAACTAGGAGTAACAGTAATTAAACCATTCTTTCATTCTCATCGACGAAACAAAAAAAGGAAAAACAATTAACTGACCCATGAAGATATCATATCATGTCCTATTTGGCCGCTACTAAATGCTATTTGAACTGTTTCATCAATAAGAATTTCTGTTGAACGGTTTATCAATAAATGATATCAGATGTAAATGCATTAACTTAAATGTATAGACTTGATGGGTCTCTAGAATTGGATTGGATTGGATTGGATAACCCACTATATTCAAGGAAAGTTCAAGGAGGAAATGAAATAATAGTGTCTTAACTTAAAAGGTATGAAACGGATTACACATTAAGGAAACTTATCCATTCCAATCTTCCCAAAGTGTTAGGATTGGTAGTGACAAGTTTGCTTTATGTCCAATCCCCTCAAATTGAAAAATCATTTACCTCTACCATCAATGTACCTTGACTTTTATTAGTTAACCAATCAATTCCAATAAGCTAATGCAAATTGGTTTTAGATTTGCCATGTTCCATTAAAGTGGTCTTTGGGCTTATTTTGCTTGTACACTGCTGGTTTTTGTTACGAGTGATAGATTTCTGTTTCTAAGTATAAATGTTGTAAGCTGTTATGTGAGAGGGTACTCATCATAAGATTAGATTTGAGTGCGAAAAAGTTTTTTTCACTCCTTTCACAATTTTAGAACATGATGGAGACTTTGGAAAAATCAAGTACCCTGGATCTAACTGATATATACGGGGTTCCTGATTTTCCAAAGTCATATCTACCATGCTCTTAGTTCCAGTGTCTCATTTGTATACTCTTCTGCTTTCTTCATCTTGTTGTTTCTTGTGTATGTGAAGTCTTCTTCATTCCAGTGTGAGATTATCTTGTGTTATTAAATATTCACATTTCATGAGTGTTCTAGCTGATATATTGACATATTGTGATACTGCTAATCTCTTCGGAGGGATGAAAGATCTTTTTTCATTCTTTTTATAAGCCTTCAAACATTGATTTGTAGTACGTATGTTAGGCCACGCAAAGACGTCCTTTTGTATGCATTATCTTTTTTGTGCTTGAGAATCATCAAATAACATTATTTAGCCATCTGGAAGTTGGTGTAATTTTGTATATTTGACTAGTCTTTTCTTCCATGAGCTTGTACACAAGTTGTAACATGCAAGGTGTTCAATTCCCTACACAGACCCAAAAGAATTAAAGTGCGTTATTTATGTGTAAAGAAGCCCCCTTTTACATCTGAAAGATAATGAGCTGACATTCTATCTATTGCATTCATACTAATTGTGAAAAGAAACATGCCAAATGCGTTCTTAGTTCTTACTTATTTGCGATTCTTTACTGCAGGAATGTGCAAGTCCATTTGATTATTGTGATATTGTCACTTCAACAACTCACAAAAGTCTTCGGGGTCCAAGGGGAGGCATTATTTTTTACAGTAAAGGCCCAAAATTAAGGAAGCAAGGCATGCATCATACTAATGCGGATGGTAGTAACCATTATGATTTTGAGGAAAAGATAAACTTTGCTGTTTTCCCATCACTACAAGGAGGGCCACACAACAACCATATTGCTGCCCTTGCCATAGCCTTAAAACAAGTAGCTACTCCAGAATATAAAGCATACATGCAACAGGTGAAGAAGAATGCACAGGCCTTAGCTAATGCCTTGTTAAGAAGAAAATGCAGATTGGTAACTGGGGGCACGGACAATCACTTGTTGCTTTGGGATTTGACCGCTGTTGGTTTAACAGGTATTATAATATTTACCATCCTAATTTTCACAGATTTGATTGTAAAATTTTATGTACATGTACAGTAACTGTACTGTTTACCTGTTGAGTTTCACGATGATTTTAGACCCATGTCTATTCAATTTGTAATTAGGCCAACATTTAAGTTTATAGCCCAATTCATTTGGCAACAGAAATACATGATAGCTTTTATACGTCAACAGAAGCTGATTAACTTTAATATCAACGGAAACGTCTTTTCTTTAGTAGTGATATTTTGGTCATTAGCAATGTTAAAAAAGAAAGAAAACACCAAGTGTCCAGAGCTGCCAGGTTGGGTTCAGGTGGTCAAGGTTGCTAAACGATTAGGGGAAGTTACAATTTGTCAATCACTGCTTTAAACAATTGTGCCCTGAGACCCTTGACAATACTTTGCATTAATTTTTGAAGTTGTTGAGGGGGACGGTCTTCCCCTCATTTGCTGTACAAATCTGATGTTCATAAGTGATAGCTTTAGAAGGAGCAAAGGTGTACTCCCAAGTGTGTTATAGTTGGATGTCTTATGTTTT